GGTCTGGGCATTTATTTAAAAGACTAAGGTACTCAAGTGGCAATTTTTAAAACAGTTCATGATCTCAGTCTTCGTGGTTTTTTGAAGGTGGTCAGTGTGTCATCTCCAACAACATGGCTGAGTAGCTTGTTCCATACTCCCACAACCACTAAGGCTGTGTTGAAGGTGACAACCCTCATGACATACTTCTTCACTACAAATTCATTACGTATTTGCCTTGTAATTCAATCGAACCCTTAAAATGCCCATTACATGGTTCATACAACTTCTCAACAGACCAACAGAATGCCATTATTATGCTCTGAGAGAAATGTGAGATTTACTGGATGGTGCTGGAAAACATGATGCCACTGTTTCTTTTGACTATTATTGAGTCTTTATGCGCCGTTATATATTGTTTTATCAACCACTACATTCGTTGATGGTCTTTTCCTGAAATCCACTGCATTTGTGTGACTTTTTGTAAGGCTGTGCTCACCAAGGAGCAACATTTTATTTCCAAATCTAAAGCTGACCGGCTGTGCAGGCAGCTCTCTTTAGACAGTCTGCAACAAACCCAGAATGCACAGCGGCTACTTACAGAATACATACGCAATAGGTGATTCAGCATCTCACCACAGGGGAACACTCTCTTTCTGAAGATATCAAAAACAAAAGACGCCCACGTTTATCCTATGGATATTCACAATTTGGTAGATGTACAGGGCCTCTCCCCACCGAAAAGGTCTTCATCTGCATTGTTAATGCATGTAGCCACACAGACTTTGTCTCTGATAATAATAATTTACAATATCACTACTGCTTAGCAAGCAGACAAGACCTAAAACCTAGTGACACACACAGGAAAAACACCCATTTGCCTGCAGAATGACTGAATTAATAATCACTGATTAAAGGCAGAGTACAATATTCAATATTCAGTTATAAAAAGCCATGGGCAATGTATTTTTACATCATGCAAATCTAAACCACTATGCATTACACTGCATCTGGAATTGTAAAGATCTGAAGGTTTTTTCTGTGAGTTTGGGCTTAACAGCTTGCAAAATTGCCTATATTTGTCAGTAAACAGCATGATACAAAAATAACACACTGATGAGTATGTAATCATAGCAGCCTGTTTTCCAAATCATTGTAACAATTTATTGGCGCTTTTACAGTATAAGAAATTAAAATAAGTATAAAGACATTGCTGTGCCATAGTTCTGAAAACTAAGCAAGGAAAATGTGGAGAAATTTTATTTTAGGCAATATATCTTTCACGTAGTTAAAGATATGAACACTGAAATTAAAAATAAATACATATTTTAATGTTATACTATTTTAACAACAATATTCCATGGGAAATGAAACCTAATAACTTATTTCCTAGTTTTTACTGAATTGCAAGCTCTCTGATCTTTTCCTGCTCTACTGCATTTATTTTTGTATACAGAACAGAATACGATTCAGTTTCTTCAGCATGTCTTCTCTTCTTAGCACACAAGAGCAAGGCTTCATGGAAAACCCAGGACATCCTGGTTGAAAGAATCTGCTTCTGCCTGTAAAGCACTGAGCAGTGAATACAGTACGTGCCTTAATCTCACAAGGAAGGGAGTGGCATAAAATCTCATGTATTGAATAATACACCCAGTCATGCACTAACATCGCTGTGTTCCACGTGCTCGGTTCATTGACTAAATAACACTCTAAACTCTCTGCAAAAGCATGCAGCTTTAATTCGATCTGCTTAGTTACAGCAGGCCCAAAACATTTCATAAAGCAGTTAACTAACTTTAGGGTCACTCTAATTCTTGGCCTACAGTGGCGTTCAATTTATTCAAATCCAGTCATCGCACCTTAGGTGACTCACACCTGAGTTTTAATGGAGCCTACAGTATGTGCACACACCACATACTGTACATTGTTCTTTTTAAGAGACACCAAACATTTAGGAGATGATGTCGGTAGTCAAGCACACTTCAGGCTCAGACCTGCGGATCGAGCTCACAACTCCGAGAGTGGAATGAATCTGTTCCCTGCCTTGAACACTCAATACCCTTGTTCTCCCAAATAGACATGGGATGGCCCACTTCACACTGCAACATACAGGGCTCTCTTGTGTTCAAGATAAGCTTACTGTATATATCAGTTAGACCTGCCTGAAGGTTTTGGGAAACTGGAAAAACCATTCAGGACTTTATAATCATAATAATAATTGCTTACACTTATATAGCTCTTTTCTGGACACTCCACTCAAAGCGCTTTACAGGTAATGGGGACCCCCCTCCGCCACCACCAGTGTGCAGCCCCACCTGGATGATGCGACGGCAGCCATAGTGCACCAGAACGCTCCCCACACATCAGCTATCAGTGGGGAGGAGAGCAGAGTAATGGAGCTAATTCATAGCTGGGGATTATTGGGAGGCCATGATTGGGAAGGGCCAATGGGAAATTTGGCCAGGACACAGGGGTTACACCCCTACCCTTTTCAAGAAACACCCTGGGATTTTTAATGACCAAAGAGAGTCAGGACCTCGGTTTTACGTCTCATCTGAAGGACAGCGCCTGTTAACAGTATAGTGTCCCCTGTCACTATACTGGGGCATAAGGACCCACATGGACCGCAGGGTGAGCGCCCCCTGCTGGCTCCACTAACACCTCTTCCAGCAGCAACCTTAGTTTTTCCCAGGAGGTCTCCCATCCAGGTACTGACCAGGCTCACACTGCTGAGCTTCAGTGGGGCTGTCAGTTTTAAGTTGCAGAGTGATATGGCTGCTTCGAAACAAAAATACAACAGACTCGCCTTTTATGCTAAATATTTTTACCCGAATTCGTATTTACGTGGTGGGAGATGAAAAAAATGAATGGAAAATCAAATAATGCAGGGAATTTAGCAAATTCACATCTGGTGTGACATGTGTGGTGTGGTGTGGTGTGGCGTGGCCAAGTAGATACTGAGGCTCCAGCAAATTGAGATTTTGAACAAGTTTAGGGGTGGGACGATGGTGACCTGTTTGGGGCGTAAGTATGGCAAGAATGAAGCTTCAATTCTTGCAATGAGAGGCAGAAGACTTTTCGTCCGCTATGTTCCCTGCATTTAAATATCAAATTTTATTTGATCTATTTTGTATACTGTACAGTAATGTATTGACTGTATTACTGTTTTCATAATACCTTAAGCTACATACATACACATACAAATACACCTGCAATTGGTTGCAGGGAGGGGAACAGTGGGGTCTTAGGGAGATGCTCTAGTTATACATGATTTTGGGTATACAGTAGGCACTATGTCAGGAAGCCAAAATGTCATTTACTGTATATAATCACTTCCTGAATATCAAAGTACTACCCAAAAAGGCTTTTGGTTTTAATAATAAACCCAAATTATCAGCAATGTCTTTTGTCTTGAACAGAACATGTTTCCAAAAGATACCCAAAATCGTCAAGCCTAATATAAAAGCTGCTTGCATAGCACTAAAGTATTAACAACCCTATGCGTTAGCTGGGAACTAACAGCATATAGTAAAATCACCAATAAAGTCCAGTGACACTCTGGACACATTAACACTGTAAACCTAGCAGAAGGATGTTCCCCTGCTGATGCACGGCTGTTTCACTGCGGGGCAGAGCGCAGCATAACTGGAAGGTTGTGGGTTCATACTCCTGACGAGACACTGCTGTCAGCGACTCACTAACACAACATCGGGAGAAGCAAATTGGTTTTCACAAGGATTTAGGCTCTCGGACACAACATATATCAGATGATTTCACACTGAATTTCATCTTACAAGGTGAACAGAGTGCATCCGGGTGAGGCTTTTAATAAATGAGTGAAAATGTTAGTCTCCTACTACTGATAAGAACCTTTACTACAAAGGAAATAAATTCAGGGGGAGGACCTAAAACCTACTGTATTCTCATTCGTCAGACAAAATTGTAAAGGAGACAACAATTATGAGTTTGCAAAGGCCATGCCCACAGAAACTAAAAGTGATCCCATTGAAGAGATAATATGACCAGAATGAGCCTACGTAACACTTGCACTCTTCTGCCCTGCTCATACTGTATTTTTAGGTGCCACGGGATAAGGGTCTGGTCTATTTTTAAACTGCTGTATCTTTGTCATCACCCTCACACACACATATGAACTTGGGCAGAAACATTTCACTGTTGCATGAAACCCCAGCCTTTTCAAGAGCACTGTTAATAAAATGGGCCGATATATTCTCACCTGTGCAGACTTCTGATTTCTGGAACGTTTTGCTTATTTCATTTAATAACAAGATTTCAGCTACAGTGTGTTTCGGGTGCAGCAACTTGTATTACAAACTACTGTACATATAAAAATAAAATGAACAGTAACATCAACAGTGCGGATATACATTATTACACTATTTTATCATTGATAGGTCAACGTAATTATTTATAGAAAAATATAAATGAGCGTTAAAAAAACAGTGAAAACCTAAGCACTTTGTCTTAATTATAATGTGCTAACTCACTGAATCCTGCTGATTGAAGAAACGCAGTAACCAATGTGATGTAGAGCCATTCAGTGCCGTATCTTACAGCGATGACAAGTTCAACGATGTGAAGGCATGCTTCTCACAAATCTTGTTCAGCAGGAATCTCGGGATTGTCTTTTTTTTTTTTAAACCGATCCAAGACAGTCCAGTCATGTCATGATCAGTCCGACACACAATCCGCGTTTTCCCCGACAGCAAGCGTACGTGAAACTTACACGCCACTTTTCAAAGCTTCACTACAACAAAGACAACCAAGGCAAAAGTGAAGCTGTCAGTCGGAGTTGCAGTGTTAAGGACAACAGCTGACAGATACACTGCAGCAATACGGGGCCTGAGCTGTAGCTACAGTAGATCAATGAAATAGTTACTAAATTACTGCCGGTTACACTGCGCAGTGTTACAACTGAAAAAAAACTAGCCGGCCTAACGACACGAAATCATTTCTGAGCACACTGTCCTCACAATAGCGCATTCCCTCAGATGTCATACCTTCGCTTTGCCGGCCTCCAGCTTCTTCTGTCTCTCTTCGTCTTCCATTACGGTCGTTCCTGGGCCCAGGGAGAGGAGATTAAGGCTTCACACAAAGTGTCAGTTAAAAGGGTCAGAGCCGGTCTAACGCACTGACCACGTTCTGGCATGTAAGGCTTCTTCTGCAGCTCCTAGCAAATACACTGTGCAAAAAACGTGTAGAGGACTCTCCGTTACTGGCTCGCCTCGGCCGCCATATTCAATACCACGTAAACACAGGGACCGCTGGTGATGACGTTCCTGAAGGTGCCTGCTTGCGATTCACGCCTCCAGGAAAAAAAAAATAACTCGAGGAGGGGTTTAGTTTAAGGTGGCAGCAGGTAAGGAATTTGCGTTTTGTAAAAAGATGAAAATTAAAAGTTGAGATCATTCACTTGGGCGTGCGGTATGTGCTTCGGCTATATTTCGGTGAGCAGGCTTCCGAGTCGGTTAAACTTTGGTATCACTTCTAAGATGTATAAATTTGCTCTAAATATGGTCTAATCAATATTTCTGTGAACGACAGCTCTTTATTATTCTTTGTTTGATTTGGTGGTTATTTACTGTAAATAAAGTTAAATACGAAATGAAGTATTTTCAGTAACAACATTTAATTATTTTTCCTATTATACTAATGTGTTATATGATTTATTGGGAGTAAAGATGTAATGCAATACAATACTGTGCTGTACAATGAAATGCAGTATTCTTGTATGGTGATGTTGGGCAATGTTGCAATATTATAACTTCAATGAACCGATAATTCATTAAAAAAAACATAATGCTTGGAAGCACATTTTAAATGAATAGACACCTGTGGCTGGCAAGCAGACTGCTGATGGATCAAATTACTGTCTCGATAAGGCCCTCAACTCCGTTAAAACGTCTAATTGTATTAGTATTGCAACCACAGTTTTCAATAATAATACTGTACTTTTTTATATCTTGTGCGATTCTAATGTAGCCAAACACTTAGTATCATACCCTCCAAGCAATCACCAAGCAATATGGACAAAAAAGCTAAGACAATAAAATGCAAAGCTAAACACCTGATGCGACCTTTGTTTAAATGCACTGGGGGGACATTTCACAATTCCTGAGGTTTATACAATAAATAGACTACGTACCTGCAGGAGAAGGTGGCCTCTGTCTCCGGACCACTGGGGTTGTACAGCTGATAGTCTGGCTGATCTTTAATTCCACCCATCTTCGCTTGGACATTTTTAGGTGTCTGTAGCAAGATGCGTCTCTCTTCTTTCTGAGGGCTCTGCGGCTGTGAGGCTACAGCTCTGGGACTCCAGACCATCAGAAAGTTTAGGGCATTAATAATTGACGTGACAGGAGTACTGTGTCAGCCACCGTAACTTAAGCACATACTGCAGGTCTGAGGCCATAATGAACTTATAAGAGGAACATGTCTAATTGACATAAAATTTTGTTCCACAGTACCAAGTGTGTCTTTTTTTTAAATGAAGCCACAATGGAAAAGTACTTGTATCACAATGTAAAATGTAGTACACAAATTGTGGCAAACTCAGTTTCAGTTTTGTAGGAGGGTTATTCTTGCTAATCGAGGATTTTTGGTCATGCCCTGTATTTGTAGTACTGTACATGCGTTTTAAGGTGCTTTAGTGATAAGTATACATGCTTAAGGAATTTATTCAATAAGAGGAAAAGTAATATGATCCTGAAACATAGTCGATGCTGCATTCAATTAGATTTAACGCTTTGGAAAAATATTGCACTTAAATATTTTGATCTGAACCTGTAAATCCCCTGAAAAGAAGACAAAGGACTAATGACTCCTTATATACAAGAACAAGCTGAATGAACAAAAGTTCTGCCACAAACCTGATGCAGAGAAGAGGGCTCTAACTGCACTGACTGTTCTGTCTGAGAAGCAATGAATGTCAGGTCCCACTGTCCCCAGTCACACTTCATCTCAGAGAATGGCCTTTGAGCACTGTATGAGAAAGCAAACTGTTTTAAATACAATACATGAGAAAGGAATGGCTGTATCAGGTTCCCAGCTCACTGCTGTTTAGCATCCTTCCAGTCTGATGGTGAATCTGTAAGTGATATTGATCTACATCCGGTAGCAGCTGCTTCAGAAGACACAGCTCTCTGAACAGAAATAAAAAAAACAGTTGTTTAATCTGTTTATTAGTCAAGATGAAAAAGCACCTTGGGCTAGAATTTCTGTCAATCTCTCAAGTTACTGAGAGATTTTCAATGAGAAAAGTTCTGTAGCAGTCATTCAATTGAAACTTTTGGTAAAGGAGTTTCTCAGCCATTTAGGATTTGGGCTACTGTACCCCTGCTGGAACCTGACGTACTTCTTCGAGTGATCAAGGAATGGATGATCTTCTCAATCTCACCTTTTTCATGAAAACTGCTCATCTGTAAATCTCTCTGGAAGCCGATCAGACATTCCTACTAAACACAGCAGAAGAAAAGGCAATATAACATATCTTGAACTTTGAACTTGAACTTGAACTTTATTGCCATATGTAACCGG